GTTCGAAAGATGTACTTGGAAATATTGTTCAAATAAACGCACAGGAATAAAAATTTAGGTGGTAGGCCATAATTACTGAATTTACGTTTAAAAAGCTACAACCATCTAGCGCCAAATAATTTACAAACCGTGAATGTCTATTAACGTAAGAAATGGCGGCTTAAAACGAAAATGGACACGATTAATGAACCACGTATAGTAATTTTTTTTTTAAATAAAAATTGGATTTGAACAACCAAAACATAAGATAATTTATAAACAATGTATGCTTTTTTTCTGATGTGGTTGTCTGTCAAGGAAAGCATATTCCGAATTTGGTTGAAATTAGAATAGCTAAGGTTGAAAATTCCATTATTTGTATCGATGATCCAAATAAACTGTGTGACCGGCATTTTTTATTAAAATAGACTGAGTAATTTGGATTCTTATAAGTTAGAAATACCAATTGTAAAAATTGAAGAAACTGACACCCCAAATCTAAAAATCACTCTGAGAGCCCCCTAGCAAAACGGGTCTTCAAGCAAATCCTATGCTTCGCTTAGCAGATTCGGATGGCAGACTGGCTTTATTACATTTCAATTAATATAGGAAATATTTAAAATTTATTAACTTTAATGTACTTACCTAGCAAATATTTTCGATAACAAAATGATCAATTAGCGAAACTAGCTCAAATAACACTTCATGTGGTCACAGGATTACAAAATACGAAGCGTTTATATTTGACAGAACTAGGCTGATTTTTAAATCGATTCATCGATGTTGGCGGATCACATGGAACCTTCGGTCTTGTCACAAAAACACAGGATCAAACGTTGAACATGGAAAGAATTAAATTATTAAAAACTATTTCTTTTCGAATTAATCGTAATTTACTCTGCATAGAATTACGTTAAAGAATCCTACATCTGGCGTCCCGTCACAGTGCAAGTAAGTAACAACTCTGAGAAGGCGATAAGCAAAGATATCCGTTGTATTATCGAAAGAAGATTCTTGCTTGTAACGTTGCGAGACAAGAGTTCCTAGAAAGGTAGGAGGAAGATACCGAGCAAAAATATAAAAGTCTGTGAAGTTCTTGTTTTCGAATATTAATAATGTAGCTTCCCGATTCTAACACATAACTTGATGTCAGTTATCATTTGTGAATATGTATTGTATACTACAGCGTGAACGTCACATTAATTGCTCTGTCATATGGTGGAGCAGGGTAATCGTTGCCATTAAATTCAACAAAAAGCTCATACTACATTTCCGCTGCAAGTTGCGCTACGTCACGAAATCGTGAAAGAATATTGCACAAATTTTCCCACTTGTGTTCGCGATTTCTTGTAACAATATATCACCACGTATCGCTGACACTGAAACTATAATAATTTATACGCAACTGTCCAGCACGAGACACCAGATTGTACTGATGGAAAATGCGGGAATCCCGTTTACTAGCGATTCAGAACTGCCAACCTGTAACCAAAAATGAATACTGACTATGATGTTCCTCTTCACGAGAGAAATGTAAATAATTCCTTCTGAATGAACGCTTTATTTGCCTGAAATCCATGCTTGTATAGGTATAATTGAAAGTTAGTTTTCTACGCTTGTAAATATCTAGAACAAGCTGGGTGGCCCTGCCGATGGAGATGAATCGCCATATCTGTGGTTTTATGTCGCCGCGAGTGTCCTGCGTTCGCTTAGAATCTTCCATATGCCCGTTTTCAGTCGTGATCGCACACGTCGTCGCTCTTCATAGCCGTAATTTACTTTATCTCTGTTAATATGGCGATTAGAGATTATATGAGATGCCAGCGGTCTCATTCAGTTGATCCTCCTGCGCCCATGACCCTTTTTGGAGTTAGTAATATAATCCTAAACCACCATTACTCCCCATTTAGAAAAAAATATCGATCGTTTCTTAATTTTATCTTCTAATATCAATATTGTTCAATGCATGGATATGTCGTTATAGACATGCCTTCCCACATGACCCCGCTCAACATTCTTAGACGCTGATAAGGCTAGCTGGATGCCCTGTTAGTGTTACGTAGTTTCTCACAGAATTACACTGTAGATGGCCGCAATATGACGAGAAAAGTTTCATGCAGGATTAAATAATAATGATACAACAATGACTGTTGTTTCATTTTCAAGTTACATAATATGTATTACATATAAGTAGATATATAATGAGTCACATTAAACTAAAGTAAAGAAAACGTGACATTACTTGAACTGACATTTAAGTCAGTGCACGAAAACGTTTAGATCATTTTATCAAATAATTGGACATAACCTTTCCTTTTGTAAGATTGTTTTTTGTAAACGGAATTCAATAAAGATTTTTTTTAAACAAGAAAACACGGAAGGCGCTGACAAAATTTCGACCTTTAGCAGTTTTGAATACAGTGTGTTAACAAACATGGAGGACCTGCGCCATTTTTATAAGTATGTATTGTTCTAGAAATAAATTGTATTAAAAAATGTAGCCAATTGTGAGAAATTTTGAAAATGTCATATATTATTTAATTTAATATATTTGTAATGCATCGTATTCATTAATTTTAGCTTTCTGCACTCCTTATAAACTTTAACTAAGGCAAATTTCACACTTTTCTGTACGCGCATATGCTTAAAAAGAAGTACAATGTTTTCTCTTCGCGTATTAATCTATTTACGACAAAAATATTTTTAAAAAACATACTATAGCAGAAGAAAATCCACATCTTTGGTCTGAAGCAGCCTTGCGCCAGCACTTGTCTCGCAGAGCACGTGGTGACGTTATGTTCGTACCAATCGCTAGTCAAACCCTCGACCATTTGTTACATCTACGCATTAACAATAGCTGCTTGTAAACGAGAACGGGACTTTTAAATAATCGATTGTAAATAGTTAAAAGAGAAGTATTGAATAGCTGCTCTAGAAAAATAATGCTTGCTAATAAATTTGTTCTCTCTCATGCTTTTTTAAAAATTAGCAATATCTTTTAGAGGTTAGGTTGACTTCGGCGCTCGTACTTACGTTTCTTTCTTTCTTTCTGCGAAACTGAATGATTGCCAAATAGTTTGTGGTTGTGTGTGGTATAAAGTTTTAAGTTGGGGTGGTTTTATCTCGTACCCCGAGAGAAACAGTGGCGACAATAGCGAGATTTGTATAGCCTAACTCCTTGGCAGAGAGCCAGTTCCTCCGGTTGCGATGAATTTCGCAGAGTTTTAATCAAATACTCGTCAGAATGCCCAATGAGATATTATGCATTTAATAACACCTGATTCCTTAACAAATTATGTAATGCTACGTGAAAAACGGCGAATTTTACACAGAAAAACTCTTATTGCCGGGCCCTGGTAACGGAAAAGTGGATCATCCACTCGCTATATATAGAAAAAACCCCTCTAACATGTGTTGTAGCCAGAATATTATTATTATTATTATTATTATTATTATTATTATTATTATTATTTTTGTTGTTGTTGTATGTGCGATCCATAGCGAAAAATCGATTGAGGAAATCTGAAGATCCTATTTCCACTTGGCTGAGCTCCTGTCCGGATTTTTACCAACGAACGATAAAGACTGCAAAAGCACTGAAGTGAGCTTTGGCCTATAAGAAGAAAAGCGCCAATGACTCTATAGCTACCGGGGAGGAGGTGCATAATTATAAACTCTTCGATTGGCAATGTCTTTTGAGAAACTATATTCTGAAACCAGTCGTTTTATCACAGCACTTCAATGGAGTTTGAATACGGTTTCCAGTAAATCTACCCTATGGAGGGAAGGCCCAAAAGAGGGAGTGTATTGCAGAAAGTGTTCTGCAGCGATAGAAATCACGAAACACAGTGTGTCAATTCAGTTAACTAAGCCATCAAGAATAAAGTGTCATGACGAGATCAAGAACTACATTGAGGTGAATATGCTCCAGAAGTCGGATATCATTGGGCCCACGGAAGCCACTTTTTTCATGTTCGAAGAGGTTACACTTAAACCTGGCCGGAAGGGGTGCACATGATTTTATATGTATATGTAAATGTGTGTGTATATATGTATATATTATTCCTCTGGAGAAATCTTATAAAAATTAGTTTCGATTTTAGTTTAACACTCTCAATTTTCGATAATTACGGAAGTTATTTAACACGGAACAACTATATTGAAGATATACCTTTCTTTCTAAATGAAATTTGTTCTTACTTCACAATTAGATCTTTAAATGTCATTACATTTTTTGAATAAGTAGTATCCGCCTGATATTGTGAAAAGTGAGATAGTGACAACTTTTAAAAATTGCGTAAACAAGTTTTTGTAAAACTTGCACACTTTTGTTCTTATTTTTTACTAGAACTCGTCGGATTTTCATTTAAAACTGATTTTTCCAAAATGGATATGCCCCATTTCCTTTTCGAAGCACAAGGAAGCTTATGATGACTCAGGCGTCTGGTATAGCGAAGTTCGAACCTCAGCGTGGGCCACGAGGCTCCCAGCCTACCTTTCATACACTCCGTGCTCCCTTGTAGAAAGAATAGCTTATCTCTCCGTCGATAGCAGGCAGCCCATGTTACGTTATTTTTGTTCCATGGAGACTATTGTTCACCGTACATATTATTTTCGAGCCCTCCCTCTCCCTCCCTCACCTTATCAACTTGGCCAATGGGCGGTATTTTTAACCTTTGGCGAATTTGGCAACAGTGGGGAGAGGGGGGGTTCCTGCAATGACGCATGTTTGGTTACTTGTCAAAATGCTGCTGCAGAATACATGTATTGACGAGAGGGCAGAGTCTGTTTACTGATACTATTTTTCATACCTGCAGAAGTAGCCCGAACTTTGATCTATAGATGCGACTGCAGAAAGCAGCAGCTTTCTCTGTGTTCAGCATTAACCTCGCCAGTGTAGCATTTTCCATCGTTGCTTTGTTGAGTGGCATCCAGTTGCTGACAAATATGTTGATCATGAAGCAGAGGCAATTGATAGATGGTCTTGATCTCTGACCTGAGAGATGGCTTCTCACCTCTTTCTAGCCATTAGAATCACTCTCGTCGTGTGTGCCAAGCTGCAATTTTAATGTTGGCAATCGATGGACAGGGTGAAAGAGTTCTAACAACAAAAAACGGAAAAATTGTAAAACGCAGGGGAATTGAAATGCAGAAATAATACAGGAAAAATGCGAGAGAAACAACTGTCACATACAATGTTTTCAAATCGAATTTCGGGCATTGATTTCGGGATTTTACCTACAATTGGCACACAAAAAGGCATTTATTCTGGTTACAATAGGGGTCCAAGAAGGCATGTAAACAATGGAAATCACTATTGAAAAGAAAACTATTGTTAAAAAATTAATAATTAAAATTATTCATATTTATTCTAAATTTAAAATGTGCTACATTTTAACGGAAAAATGAACTACATGGAGGGAAACTTTTTCTTTGTAATCTTGGTTGTACATGTCCATCTGGCATTTGTTTTACTCACACTGACTACAAAATGTTATGGTGGATTTTCTATTGTATCATGAAATCGATTAGTAACAAGGATATTATACTTTTCGTTCTTTCTTCTACCACCAGTACTACCACAACCTCCATTACCCTCACTACCACTACCACTGCTATTGCCACTATCACTACCACACCATAATATGTGATATCAGATGGTAAGTTAATAGAGTTCACAGATTAGGGGTCTACTTTATGGCATTAGAAAGTTGCATCATTTTTTTAGCTACACATTAATATGGAAACTTCTAAAAGAACAGTTTTAAAACATGATGTATTTTTGGAGGGGCTCTATGTAGCGCTTCACTAGGTTTCTCGGAGTTCTTAAACACTTTGGAATTAACCTCTCTCTTTTTCCACATTTGTCAAGAGACGTTTTAATGTTCAGTTTTACTTCAAATTTGTCAGAAAACAAAAAGGACTTTCCAAAGTATTATTTTTATTACATACTGCCCTTTTTTGCTAATAAAATATGGTTTGTTAATGAAGTCAAACTTTTGTCACCGTTAATCTTATAAAATTAACGAAAATTTAAAATTTAAACCAAATGTTCTGCCTAAGGAATTTTTTTTCATAATTCAATGGCCTTAGAAAATTCTATACATGTTTTTCAAAATTACGTATACAAAAAATTGTTTTTTTTTTTTTTTGAATTTGGAATTTAATTTTTTCCCTTAATGCTATGAAGCAAATGTATTTTTTTACCGCAAAAAATTTTTATTTAAAAAATCTTGATTTAGTCATCAAAAATTTAGATTGAAAAATAACAACAACAACAACAAAGTTTTGGTTGTGTAGAAAAGCTGGGGAGGATTTACAGTTGGAAATGAGTTAAAAAATATATATTTTAGTTTATAATTATATTCAAATTTTTCACTTCATTTCCCTTTGAGGCACTTTACAATCTTATTCAGCTATATTAAGGCAGAGTAATCTCGGAAAAACACAGGGAAACGCCAGGGGAAAACAATTTCAGGATGGCAGTGAGCGTCGTTAGTTAGCAATGGCTTCATTACACCTATGCTATAACAGGTTTGTTTTATGTATTTTTGTTTTTGACTGAACTTGATGTCTTACCATTATTATCATGGTATTGCTTTTGTGATAATGAAACCAAACTGGATAATTAGCAACTACTGGAGGATGTGACCATATTAATATGTGGGTAGTAATTACATTTTGTACTTGTGATTTATTTTGTAGGTAATGAAGGAATTAGAAGAACAAGAACTCATGCAGCAGTGTGTCCAAGCAATGCTTGAAGATGAGCGTGAAATTTACAATATCCATAACCAGATTGCATCACCACCCAGTAGCCAGCAGTGGAGTACAGCAACCAACTGCAGTCCTGCTCTTATCAAGTAAGCATTTTGTTCATTACATTTATTTTATAATGTGTTACGAAGAGAAACAAAACTAAACTAGTTTCAAGATTTAGAGCCCAATAGAAGGGATTACAAAAATCTTAAATTATACAAAATAATATTCGGAAAGATACTTTTGATTATAGATATTTTAATATATACTTAGATTTTTAACAAAATAATATTGAGTGCAATAAGCTAAAATTTTACTACTGATATTATTAATTGGATTGATAAGATCTTTTTATTATTTTTTTATTCTGCTATTATTTGTTTTCCAAATAAGTATTGTATTGATAGTGTTCAGATAACAAAAGGGGCTTAACTCTCATTTTCAGTATTATTTTTAATAAAATGTATTTTCTTGATATGAATTGTTTGAATAGGGGGTCCTTTTTATTTCCAATGGACCTTGAATTCTTGGAAATGCCAAAAAAAATTTCAAATTTCTTCTGATATTTACTGTAATATTTATTTAAACGTTTTGTTTACCATAAAGGCAGTATAGAGAAAGTCGTCCAAAGATCAATCTCCGAATTTTAATGGAAATAAGTTTTGGGAGTTCTTGTTACTACAGGTGTTTTTTCTAAAATTTGTCTGTCTAATCAAAACCAGGTCATAAAGTATGCAGTTTAATTTTCAGAAATAGATTTTGTGAGATTAATGTAGCTCACTGGAGGCTTTTTGAACTTAGCCAGAATCAAATCATTTTGGGGGATAATTTATAATGTTCATGGGCTGCAAAACCGGCACAATTAAAATAAATGAATTTTTATTGGATTAATTAGTAAACATAACCAAAAGGTTTTACAGTAGTTCTATGGACAGTAATTATAAAGTCACAATTCAATATTTGTTGGCTTATTTTTAATATTTTTTACTTGTCATTGTTACAGCCCAACGCAATGAAGCTCCGAATGATTTCTTTTAAAATAATAAAATTGTCACATTTTTTGTTGTTTAAATGGGGCTAAATGCACTTATGAAGATGGTATGTCCATTTTTCGTGTACACTTCAGAAGTTTTGAAAATTGCATATGTTAAAATATATTTTTAAAAGTGTAGTTGCTCAAATACATTTTTAAACATAACCGCAATCGGGCGGATGAAAGATATATCGGGGAAATTATTAATTGGCATAAAACTGTTGCATATTTGTTTTAAAATTAATATTTAATTGGAAGATTCACATGGAAATACCCTTCAGAAAATAACGTTATAAATGGCATAGCGCATATGAAACCTTACGTCTGTCGACATGCAATGGTTAAATGTGTTTACAAACAGAATGTACGACACCGTTCACGGCGGCGCTGGGCAGCGAGCGAGCGGCCGCTAATGACCTCTGGCAAGTAGCGACGGCAGGGCAGGGGCCGGCGCCGCTGTTCTCGGCTGGGCCATGTCCGTCGAAGGGGAGGCGTCCTCGGGTGAAGCGCACCTCGTAATTATTTTTTTCACTAATCGCCCGCTAGTGCGTTAACTGATGCTCTTCGCGTTTCAGTGTTGTTCTCTATGCTCGTGCTTCTCCCTTTCTCTTATTGAAAATCGCTGAGGATGAAATCGAGAAACGAACGGCGCAAAGCGAGCACATGATATGCCAATAGCGTAATTTTCCAGATGAGCGTATTACTACTTTCCGGTATGAGCGAAACAGTAACCTAGTCTTCATACAATGATCCGACGGGATGTGGCCACAGAAAATATTTGTATGGATGAATAGCAGTTAATAGCCCTTGTTTGCTACCATGTAATGATCTCGAACAGTGTCTCGAAGAAGTCGTGCAATTTGAACACCGTGACATTTGTTTGCCGTCTTTTTTTTTTCTTTCTTTTTTTTTTTACCTTCTGGATCATTTGGGTCTTCAATTTCGGAATATGAAGAGTCGCTCATTGTTGCTGAAAGTCTCACACCGCAAAACAACACAAAATCACCACACACTATGTCCACAATTGCGAATACAATATATATATATAATATATATATATATATATATTATATATATATATATATATATATATATGAATATAATATATATATATATATATATTTCAAAGGCTCCACTAGCCAAAGGAATTGCTAGAAACCTCCAGAACACTGCGTGCTAACTTAACCCTGCACAACAAACGCCTGCAAGAAAGTAGATGCATTCCCAGTGCCTGACTTTGACTTACAGGCTGTCAGATGTTTTAGGTCTTCTTTTAAATTTGCTTATTTTAACATTGAAGCTATCTGCAGTATTTTGAATAAAAAAAAGTTGTACAATATTTGTAATTCATGTAAATATTGTGTACATATAAAGAATTGATTATAGATATACATATAAACTGAGTTACAAAAAAAAATTTCCCAATGGAAGTCAGTTTCCTTAAAAAAGAAGACATTTTTATACTCCATGATGTATAGACAATGTACTCAGCAATTCCATACCATTAATTGTCTTTTAAAAGCACATTAGACTTTGCGTCAATAAAAAATAAAGCTTTGGATTGGATAACTTCGCCCCTGCACTCAACTTCATTATCCACCAGACAATAAGCATAAATAAGTTTTATACCACAATAAACTTAATATATAATAAACATGATATATCATGCAGACCATTTATTTTGAGTAAAAATGTAGATATTGAAGATATGAAGTCCCTTTAATGAATTAAATTACTTTAAAATTATACCAGTATTATTTTCAATTCACCGGGACTAAAAGGAGGACATTCCATGTAAATTAAAAAAGTAGCGAGGACAGGAGAACAATTTTTAAAAGGAGCACAAGCCCTCCAATAGGTGGTCAAATGACAACCCTACGTATAAATCTCGCCACGATTTATATGGAATAAATATACATTATTTTTGTCTCAATTTTATCTGTGTATATAAATGGATATATCTGTGATTAATTAACACTTTCTTTGCTACATATAGGGAAAGAAATATTTCTATAAAGAACATTCAGAAGTTCCCCTTAAAAAATTTTGCATCCACTGACATTCGTTCGCCCCCAAACATTGCGTTCCCCCAGGCTGCAGCCTACTCGGCCCGTTCTGGCACTGTCCATACGAATTGGCATCATTGCATAGCCGCTGTTGCAAATTTCTACCTCAAGTAATGTAGTGCTAGTACGTAATTTTGGCAACTTGAAGATTCACACATAATTGCGCATCCTCATCTATTGATGTCTTTAATTCCTCATCCGTACAGAGCAAAACAAATCCGTGGCTTCTTTGTCGAAGCTACTAGTTTCCATTACACGGGAGCGAAATGTCATTATCAAATGTCAACAATTCTCGTTGCTATCCTTATTCATTTGATGTAGTGGATTGTTGGGCTGAAGAAAATGTGCGCGTACAGAGTGGCTCTCATTATTGAACGTGCACCTTTACTGTAAACCTTAAATGGTCTACATTCCTGTCATAAATTTTTCTAGAAAGAAAAGTGTATTGGAAAGCAGAAAGATGCTTTAATAGAAGTAAAAATAAATATTTGGTACAATACCCACAAATAAGCATTGCATAGAAATCAACGTAGACCGTCAGGAGTGCGCTGTGAAATTCACTAGTTAAAACTTTTTTTCTTTTCTGAATGCAACGTAGTGAGATAAAAGTCAGTCGGTGGTCGCATTGTAGAGAGCGACATCTAATTACAAATGGCTCGGGGCAGGGTGGAAGTTCATCATACCCCAGAGAAGCAAAGCGACTGTGAAGAGTAAAGAATTAATGTGAATTTAGCCGTGGGAAGATCACTGCGATATTTTGCGAACTATTGAAAATATAGTAAACATATTCAAGTACGATGGCAGATTAACACACAAAATAGAGGCCAAGAAACGATACTCGATGCGACGAATGGGATAAATGTATTATTGTCAATCACAGTAGCAGGAATCCTTGTCCAGTGCCATTAAAATAGCTCCATGTGTTCGAATAACATGTAAGACTTGCCACTGGAATCGTCGGAAGGGTATTACGAAACGTAGAACACTACGCAGCGGCGGACTAACCATTTCGATAACTCAAGTTAGTGTTTTTGAGCCCCCCCCCCTATTTTTCTGGTAACAAGAACATTTTTGCTGGTCCGGATGGCCGAGATCGTTAAGGCAGTCGTGCCCTAAAGATCTCGGACCGAAGGATCGCGGGTTCGAATCCCGCGCCGGGCATGGTTATATTTGTGTTCTTTTCACTCCCCAACATCACATAACATCACGTCATGTTCATAGTAACCATAACGTTAAATGCAATATGTAGTAGTCGCTAATGACGTAGATGTTGATACGATCTTAAATAAATAAATAAAAAAAAAATTTGACATTGGAGATTTTAATCGTTTTACTCTAATTTAATTAAACAATTAAAATACTCCTTAAAATTATATTTTAAAATATTACAATTTGAATTTTAAACATTTTTTTATTTTTGTTTATATATTTAAAGAAAATTGTATTCAAATTTTAATTTAAAAATTGTAACAATAGTCTATAACATAACATCTGTATGTCAAATTATCTGCAGTGTAATTCAGAACTATATTATCTATTAATAAAAGCAAAACTGATTTAAAAGTCGATTTTTTTTTCTCCACAGAATCAGAAATAGCATTGTCGAAAGATGAAACCTAAAAGCTTATCACTTTGACATTTTTGTTAGCGATTTGAGTCTGTCTTGCCACATAGCAGCTTGATACCAGTTTTTAACTTTTTAATTTTACATAATGTTGTTTTACCTGTACTTTTGTAATGATTAACGTTAAAAAATCCGAACGGCAAACTCTACGTGTCACTTAAACCTCGATATTTGTGCTAGAATACGCACGACGTCGGGGACATACAAAAAAAACCATTTCAATCAGCCAGTCAGGACACTGATGGATTTTGCCATGCACTCAAGAAGATCAAACCGTAATATCTGAGAATGAAAATGCCTGTCCTGTTTTTAGCTCCAACAGCAATTATCAATGTTATTTATTTTTTATTTCTTTACGGGGACTAATTATAAATTTGTATATTTTTATAATTTTTTAGCAAATTTGCAATATTGTTTAATTTTTGAAACCCCAAGCTGTAGTTTATTTTGCTTAACAGTAATTCTGCCACAAGAGTGGCAAACAAGAGAGTTAAAGAGAGAGGAGAGTATGAATAAGGCGTCTAATGGGCGCGATTAAGTGATGGCAATTTTTCCCCCAAAATCCATATTTCGATTCATTGCCAAAAGGTTTTCGATGTCGATTAAAAAATCGACAAGAAACACAAATGTTTTAAAATTGATAAAATAGGTGGCGTTTCCCCCATTCTATTTCAATTTTAACTATAGTACTTAAATGAGATATTTCACTTTTTGGCCACGTATACATAATATGTTAAATAATCTGAATATAATGTAAAGAAGGAAATAAAAAATACGGGCATTGTGTTTTGCTATTATTCCATTTAACCTATTTACTTTCATTAATAAAACATCGAAGTACAACGGCCTGGATCTAATGTGATACATGCTGTTGAGGTTGCGAAATATTGCTTAGATAAATTGGGAGAGCAATAGCAGAAATTGCGACGAACATCGCCTTTTCTATCGAAAGTTTTCATCAGACGAGTGTGTTCTGGAAAGGAAAGGATACATAATTGACAAAGATTGTTTCTTTGCAGAAAGAATCAATGCGAGATTGTCACGGTTACCTCTGTCTAGACGAAATAAAACGTTTTCGTTACGAATTTCACATTTTACTACACGTTAGATTGCAGAAAGGGGCTGGGAATTGCCTGGCAGCGCCCGACACATTTCCCTTAGCTTCTGTCCACTGAAAACTGCTCGCGGCTTTCATGACAACTTGAGACCGCTGCGTCCAACGTTGAAAGTGCTGGATTCCGGAAAATTTGACAAAGTGTACACTTTCGTCGCAGCCGCCCAGGAGCTGATGCGATCTTTTGGTGACGCTCCGCACCAACAGGAAGCAGTTGACAATCGACGTCAAAGAACTTTGTACGAATTAAATGAGTATTTGGTCAACTGGGAAGGAATTCGCGCGCGCGGAATTTTTTTATAGAAAAATTAGATCTTCTGAGCGGAAAGTTTGAAATGTATGAGGTTCTGAAATACCTTCAAAGAGTATCGAAATTGAGCAGTTTGAAGCGTGGCGCCAAATTTGAACTAATGTGGCAGTCAATTGCCAACATACACTGAAGAGCCAAACAAAAGTACAACCATTGCCTATTGAAATAAAGGGATCTGGGACAAATCAGATTACGGCGCTCCGGTCGGCAACGACTATATAAGACGAGAGTCTGGCACAGTTGTTAGATCGGTTATTGCTGTTACAATGGCTGGTTATCACGATTTAAGTGAGTTTGAACGTGGTGTTATAGTCGGAGAGATGGGGCACAGCATCTCCGAGGGCGAGATGAAATTTGGATTTTCCCGTACGGCCATTTCACGGGTGTACCGTGAATATCGGTAATCTGGTAAAACATGAAACCTCCGGCATCGCTGCGGCCGCAACAAGGTCGTGCAAGAACGGATCCGACGACGACTGAGGAGAATCATTACACGTGACAAATGCGGCCTTTCTACAAATTACAGCAGATTTCAGTGCTGGGCCATCAACAAGTGTCAGCGTGCGAACCATTCGAGTCATCGATATGGGGTTTCAGAGCCGAAGGCCCCCTCCTATTCCCTTGATGATTGCATGACACAAAGCTTTATACATCGCCTGGGCCCGTCAACACCGATATTGGGCTGTTGATGACTGGAAACACGTTGCCTGGTCTGACGAATCTAGTTTCGCTTTGTTCCGAGCGGATAGACGTGTAAGAGTATGGCGAGAACCTCCTGAATCCATGGACCCTGCATGTGAACAGGGGACTGGTGAAGGCTCTGTGATGGTAGGGGGGCGTGCGCACTTGGAGTGACACGGGACCCCTGATACGTCTAGATACGACTCTGACAGGTGACACGTACGTAACCATCCTGTCTGACCACCTGCACGCATTCATGTCCATTGTGCATCCCGACGGACTTTAGAAGATATCTCCACCTCCTCATACTCTTACGAGTTTAAGCACAGACCTGCCCATGGTGTCAATTACCCATGGTGTCAATTCAGACGTTAGTCTAGTCCATGCCACGTGGCGTTCCGGCACTTCTGCGTGCTCGCGGGAGCATTATACGATATTAGGCATTTTGCGTTCTGTCATATTTATTTTTAATCAATATTCAATGTAGACAATGTTCAAAATGTAGTTTAGCGGTACTACCACGTACAAATCCATAAAAAACATAGCAAACATATTTATTAAAAAAACGCGAAACAAAATAAAGCGTTGGAAGATTTTTTGCACATGAAAATTTTTATGCTTCTTAAATAATTCTTTAATATACCTACACTTGTACTGAATGTTAAAGAAAATTCTACACTTCAAATTGACTCAATCTCTGTCTGTTTGTCAGTCCAAACATTTTTCTTGGCGCTAAATTCATTAAAAACCGGGACCCATGTATATATTTACAATAATTTTATAAGAGTTGAGACGATTTCTGGCTGCAAAAAATCGTAATTAAAAAACTAGCCCAAATAAACCGCGGAGTCATTTCCCCCTTTTAAGATAATTGCTTATTTAATTTTATTACAATGTATTTACGTGTTACCATTTTTAAACACAAAAGTCGCTAATACAAGTTGTGACCATTTCACTCACACGGTGAAAATCTGGCAACCGCATGATAATTTTATACGTGTAGAAAATATAATTTTGAGTTTACAATTATATATGTTTGGCAAGGTTCTTTTTTAAATGAGTTAGTTGTGGTTCGCTGTTAGTAAAATTTCATTTATAACAATTAGTTTCGTCTTTATCTCAGCCTATCTTAAGTTATTTACAACACTTATTGAAGTTTGTAGTTCAGTCAATCGTTTACTTTTTGCATGAAACACAATAGGTATTTTATTAAAATTATAACAAAGTGACATATACGGAACAAACACCCCAAAATAATCACAAAGAAATCTCTCCTTCCCCCTTCCCCGAATTTGCCAATAAAAGGGAATAAACATCCAAATTGAATCTCTTAACCTGGCAACACTGGAGAAACCTTGGTAATTGCAAACGATTTCGTGCCGTCTGAGAATCGACAACAGTGATAGATGTCGGTGACTTGGTTTTGAGCAATTCATGAAGAACTAATTACCGAACATTTTATTTATATTATGAATATTAAAAAAAACATCAGTTTGTGGAAAAATAATCGTGTATTCAACGTAAAGAAATCATCGAACGCAAGACATCGACGTTAATATATCGATGTTTTAAAAACATGTTTTGCCATCCCTAGGGCCAATAAGCTGCAGTTATCGAAATATTACAAAAATTGGGGTTCTGGAAATCCTGCTTTCCAGTGATGAATGCAAATCAGACGGGCAGTGTGGAAATATTTGTTTTGAGCCTCACAATTCTGCAATATATATTTTTTCTACTCCAGCTAGTATATTAATCCTTAGTGTACTGTCAATTTTGAGAGTCTCTGTATTGTCCAAATGTTTGTCTGCCGGTGCCTCACGAGATTTATGCGAGACCAACGGTTACCACCTTTACGCTGCAATCCAGTATCTGGCATTCAGAATGTTCCAGTAAAATCCCCAACACTTTGAATGCATCAATCCAATTTTTTCGATAAAGAACGATCAGTGTTAGAAAAAAAGAATCTGAGCAGTAAGCGTTGCAAACAAGAAACTAGTCAGAAATATTGGAATGTTGAAGGGCAAACAGCCAAAATCTGCAAAAATTGGATCATAATACACAACTTCAAAAGTTGTTACGCTTTTAAAAGCAAAGGAGAAAAAATAATGTTAATGTTAATAATAATAATAAATGCGAACAAAACTTCTTAACCGAGGAGTTAGAAGAATGTCTTAAATACACAAGTTTGGAAATCATGATCAGCAGAATGTGGTGTGTAAAAGAACAGGTTGTTTTCATAGTAATCGGAACTTAGGGATTTGTTCTACAAAATTTGTGCAAGAACTTGGCTAAACTCTCAGCTCATTCAAAAGACTGGGAAGTGCAGGATATTGCTTTGTTAGGTACAGCTCACATTTTGCACAAAGGGTTGTAGATGCACCAGTAGTCCCCGGATCTACTTCTCAGGAAGCAGGTTGCACCCCGGAGTAGACTAATCACCCGACCTATAACATCTTTAGTCGTGAATTAGAGGAATAATAATGATAGTAGTAATAAAGAAAGTAATAGTAAGTAGTAATGAAAGTAGTAGTAGTAATAAACGAAATATTAGTAATAATGATGATAATAATAATGATAATGATTTTATTCAGGCATATACATAACATATTCATTATCTTCAATAATTGTGCAACATTGTGTTAGTTAAGGATTGTATTTGAGGGTAAAACTTGTTAGTGTACCTAATATCTCTTTACTTAATATAGCAAACAAAAAATTGGAGATAAATCTTAGTATATAATATGAAAATAAAACGAGGTAAAAACCTTAAACTCAACTTGTACAACAAGAACAGATGAATACAGTACATGAACAGACAAAAAACCTCTTGCTTAACTTAAAGTGGATTCTGGTTATAATGAACTTCTAGGGACTAACATCTTTATTTCACCTTACAAAATCAATTATTTTCAATTGTTTGCTAAGTTTCTTTTGCATTAGTAATTTCTTTAGATTCTCTTCTGGAGTTCATGCTCTGTCAATACTTGATTCTACATTGTTCACTGTCTCTAAGTATCGTAATGCAGTTTGTATCCCTGTAATACCTCTCACACTGTTGGAAACCGTCCTACTCTTTGAAAGTCATTTTACTTGCTTAATAACATACGAGAACCTTTTGGTAGCGGCATGGCGCAAAGCAGCTAATAAAACTGTTCACTGAATGAAATGTTTTTTTTCCAGGAGGAAATTAATTTCCTGGCCATAATTCCTATATTCACTGTAACGGAGGTTCAGAGTTCACTATAACCGAATATTCTTGTGCTTATTTGTAATGTAAATGAAACGGAACCAGTGACTTAGGTTCACTATAACCAGTGTAGACTGTTGAAAGAAAATAAGCAAACAAAAACAAATGAATAATGTACAAGAGTAAAATCATAATAAATAATGCACGTTGTACACTAGACAGATAGAAAAGAAAAAGAAAATTTTAAATTGAAATTGTAATTTTATAGACAAATAAAATGGCAGAAGCTCAGAAAAATACTTTTGATGTAAATAGAAAAATTATATTGATATATTCCTCATGAGGTATATGTAATTCCAAGTTCCTTTCTTGAAGAATGTATGTGCGAGTTAAATCCTTATACCTAATCATTGTTGTGATATATTAATAGAATAATATTCACGATCATATTTTCCGATTTGAACTGTATTTGACATTTTGATTAAACCTAAATGATTTTGAAATGTTTTGTGGTTTTAAAAATCAAATATTATCTGTAGCTAGTTACATTTCTGAAGAATAGAAAGCAAGAAGTAAAATATAATGGTATCTCACACGAAATAGATTTGGTGTCCTGCTAGGGTCTGTATTAGATCCTGTGTTGAATATAATTTATAAAAAATAACTTAATTAAATAAATGATGAAAAATGTATTTGGAAATGGTGTAAAATTAAATTATTTGCTGATATCTTATTGTTTGTAATTGGTGATACAGATGCAGAAATTGAATGTAAACTGTAGAGTATTGATTGCAACATAAGTGGTTGATGGTAAATAAGTTGGTGATTGTTTGAAAACTAAATTTATGATTTTACTTAGCGGAAGAAATGTAGAAGGAGAAATCAATCTTCATATCACTCACTGTCTTAAAGAAAATTTATATACACAATACAATATTTGGGAGTAGATATTGAGAGTAAGTTAAATTATAAAGAATTCACAGAGTATGTACTTCAGAAATCAGGAAAAATCAAATGCTAGTTAATATCTAACATCGACCGTAGAATCGATGCTGACTCTTTCAGAACAACTCAATCTCTCTTAACTTCATCTTAGATTGCATAATTATATTTTATTTTTTGCTTTCTTCTTTCTTAAAATGTATAACTTGCCAGCCTAACGTAATTAGCTCATATGCAAATGGATATGCAAGGTGCTATATTTAAATCAAAATTGTTACTTTCAATTTTTATTACTGTGCAAATAACTGTAGTTAGTCAATAAATCTGAAGTTAAAATACTTCAGGTTCAACAAAAAAGGGTAATGGCTGATAACTCAATTCAATAGATACACTCCAGTGTTAGACATGTTAGAGAATTTGAAATTTATGACAGAAAGCCAGAAAATAAGACACAGGTTTCTATTCATAAATTAATTGAATATTAGATAACAGGAAATTTAGTAAACAAATTACCAAATTCAACCAAGAAAGAATACACTTTGAAGAAGAAGACTTCAATGCTATTCTTCAGGTCTTACAAAAGAGTTATTGTATTTAGTAAACCGATTAATATTTTTTCAGACATACATTTCATTTTGGTAGACATACGAAATGCAAGTTTGGTAGTTGCTAATAACCATGGTGCAACCTAAAATAAAATGTTTAAAAAATGCCAAGAGTAAAAGACAAGCCCAACATTTAGTCGTTATTGTGAACAGAACTGTCCAACAACAAATTATTAAATGTTTAAAAATGACAAATTAATTCTACAAGGAATTATATCCGCAAATGAGTGTTAAAATAATCAGAAATGGCCTTGAAGGCTCAATTAATCAATCTGTCAATCCACTATCCAATAAATTCAACCAATCCAGTTCATTGTATCTTACCACTCTGTAGTTGACCTATAACTACTCAGCTTAATGTGATGACATGAAATGCATTGTTTTGAAATGTGATCTTTATTTTCCAGTAATTTGCCTGATCTGTGCCAAGGAGTTGAAAACTTGCAAGTCAGAGATAATCTTGTGAAACATGTGAGTAATGTATTTTATTTAAAATATAATTAAATTATTTAGTTTTCTGACATATAATATACTGTTGCCTGTACACTTCATCACAAGTTCCCAAACTTTTTACACCCAGTCACTCATTGGAAAAGATAAGTTGGCACCATTCTATAAACCTCACTTACGCAAGTGAACAAACCAAAAGACGTCACAACTTGATTCTCTCGCCGATCTTCATATATACGTATATATGAAATATCCCGAATTAACCGTATAATGTTTACATGCAAAATAAAATAAAGCCGAAAGTAGGAACAGCTTCGATGCATGCTTCGGACAGGATGATGTTCATAATTAGCCACCACTAGGTGACTACAGTACCTCGAGTACAGTGTCCCAAACAGTTCGACACGCTGTTTCCAGTAACTACCTAGCACCTACACGGCAGATGAAATCTCTAGTCATGAACACTTACTGAGAGGCGCCATGTGTTGAAGTCGTGTTTGTAGCCTCGGCCGCAGCCCAACTCGCTGAACCCCAGTGGTTCTGTTGATGACGGTTATCTGCGCGACTCCCGAGCGACTCCGGACGAGCCAGCTGGGCGACGTCGCCAAGTCTCACTGAGGCATATTCTCCGGTTAAAATTTGGTTTGCAATTGCGGCCCGAGTCATTTGTTACTTGGCTGTCCGGGACGAGTAGCGTCTCAGTCGGTCGAACCTTCTGAGCTGAACTGCTACGATCAGGAGGGGGCCACAACAATGGCCAAAACGTCAGCTCGGCCGACAGTGACGCGGCTCATCCCGGACAGCCAAGTACCTTTTTTACTGCATTTGACAGCTGACAAGCTGCCACGCGATTATCCAATCTGCGGGATATTTTCGGGATATTTGAAATTGAAGCTCCGTTGTATGGTGCGAATTAAAGAAGTTGGTGATTGACAGTTGCGAGTGGAAAGGAGCGACGTTGACAGGTTGCTTACCACTGAGCATGTGTTCCCGGAACCCGAAAATAAACACTTGAAAAAATTACTTATAAAAGTAACCAAATCATACACTCGTATTGTACGAAGCAACAGCTTTGAAGCAAATCTGTCAATCACCAACTTAATTAATCGGACTATAATAACAGGTGATCAGCCGACGAATGCATTTAAATTTAACACGGATTATGGTTAACAAAATCCTCGCGAGCTCAGTGCTTCAGATCAGAGCATTCACACTGCCAGTACTGTAGTATATAGTTTTACTCGTGCACTTGACATAACTCAGCTGTTGTGGTTTCATTCAATCGGGAGCTTATATGTCGCTACAGTGACGTCACTATGGGGACGTTCATGCTCCCGATTGGATGAAACCGTGAACAGCTGATTTACGTCAAGTACATGGTTAAACAAATCCTAGTATCAGTGAATTACATTAGTGTGAGGAATAGCAGATTTTTGATACACAGGAATCGGACTGCGGGTGGGAAGTTTCTAAAGCTGGTGAGAGACAGGTGTGTTCTGCCAGTTGTAAATTTCGACAAAAAATTCATTTATCAGCTTCTCACTGACGTTAAAGATATCATATATCCATGCAGGATGAGTGATAAATCAAAACACATTGACGCCAAGACAAAATATAATACGTTCTGAAGAGATGGTCAGCGGAAGTACAATTTTTTAAATTATTTTTAATTTTAAGTGATTTTAAAATTATTTGATACCAGGGGCAAATTTAGTAAGTATTTAAAATGGAGGGAGCCAATTTCAGTTTGCCTTCCCTTAATTAACTTTCTAAATTGCTTGTTGGAAATAAAAAAACTGAATATCCTTATGCCCCCTCCCCTCAATCTATCACTCTTTGATTCACCACATCTTTGGTATGTGTTCAGAAACTTTAAAAAATGAAGAATCACTTCGAATTAAATTGGTGTTAATACATATTGATTTACATGTATAAGTTGTAGGAGTGTTTATCTATTCACATAAATTACACCAGGGTTGGGGCACCCCCACAATGCTGCAATATCATACAAATTTATGAATGTAAATGATTTAGTATAGCATGTGATGTAGTGACAGTTGATGAGTAGCTTAATCATGAGAAGTTCCATAAGCCCATTCATAAGGAGGTCCAAACCCAGATCGAAATGTTGGCATGTTAAGAATGTACAAGGTAATACCAAAGTACGTGTGAAGTTATAATTGTTTACCTAAGTGTACTTCAAAACTAAGAAATGCAATGTAGTTTTAATATATATTATTGTCATCCAGAAGATCTACAATTTTTCAGAGTTGTTTAGATCATTATTCACTGCAGGCAACCACTATATTCTTGGTATGTATGTTCTCAGATTTACACCTGATACCAGCAATGTTTCTCTTTCGAGTTGGGTTGGTCTACATCCTGTTCGGGAGGAACGAGTAGGGCTATCACGTATTCCTTTTCACACATCATTCTACCCTCTGACAAGTCATTTTCTTGTCATATCTTTCTTCTCAATTCTTCCCTCTTCTTAAATGCTCACCCACATTTTGTGAGCATAGTGTCACATTTCAAAGGGATTGGGTTATGCAGTTGAGGATTATGTTATCAGTATTACTACACTGGTGGTACAGTTGCTATGAATACCTTTTTATGTATTTTGAATAACATTCACTGTGCTCCAATACACTGGCTTTGGCCTCTTCTAAATGGACAGTCAGAAATTATCCCACGTTCAATCACTCTACTTCAACCAGATCTTTCACTGAACTCCAGGGTGAATAACAGTTTGTGTGTAACACAGAAGAAACCTTGAGATACCAATATGCCCATGGCAACTCCAAGGGAGTTGTCCTTGTTTGACTCCATGGAGGACCATGGGGATGAACTGTATAATATGGGCTTAAAAGAAAAAGGTATTGTCAAATAATGTGAAAATAGTTGTGATATAACCTTCAGAAATATTCAAGTCCATTATACACAATATCCTTCCTGCAAAACAGAATTAAGCCCATTTAATACCTTTTGCCTACAATGTATAGGTAGAATTAATAAAGTCCATAACTGAGACCATAAACAGAAATCACCATAGTAAATTCGAAGAAAATTGTGCTATAAACCAAAGGGAAATGTATTCCAATTTCTTTGACTGTCACAAAACTAATGAAAAATGCCAAAACTAATGAAGAGTAGGTTCAAAGATGGTAATGATGATGATGTCAAGTGACTGAAAGTGAAGTACTTCAATCAAGCATTCAACAGATAATCCATTGACTGTGTTGTACAAACACAGGTACTCTGATCAGTATATCTCAATCAGGGTTCTTGGAAAGGGAAAACCATCTGCTTGCCCTAAAGAATTGCCAAATGCATATAGTATCCACTGTCTATCAACGCGGTAAAGAAGAGTGATCATCTTGAACACTGTTATACATGCCAATTAGCTAGAGCACAATCTGTCAGCATTTGCCTCTTCAGCTGACAAAATACTAGAATCTTCTATCAAGGATATTGCAAGGAATAATTCTGAAGATGACTGAAAACTTCAGTATTCAAATAGTTTTTAGAAAATAAGTCCATTTCAAAATTTTGTTTTAACACTTCAAGTACTAATTTCATTCAGTTAGACTAGGTTTTACTTTATGGGGTATATTGGAAGCATTTTACCTTATTGGAGTTACTTGTAGTGTTTTACTTTATGGGGAACAAGTTTTATAATATAATTCCTAGGCCAATAACCCCATCTCAAGCATTTTTTTTTTGTTCACTTTCTCTCGCACTTTGAACAAATGCTGAGATGGTCCCTTGTGTTACTTCTGGACAGTAAATGTAACTTAACTTCTTCTGCACTCAAGATGTAAACAATTGTATTCCCTCTACATACATCATATTTGACTTGTCATACATGATTGTAATTATATATGAGTCACAAGAAATATTATTATTGTGAGTAATATTGTTGTTGTTGTTGTTGTTAGGAAGATCAATTATTGAGAAGAGTAAACGAAGAATCACTTGGTAGTCTTCAGGAGGAGGTACAGAATAAGGAAATTAAGAAAATTTCCCACCCCAGTCCTGATCATTATGTTAAATCTTCTCTCCCACATTTCATTTCATGCTGCTTTTACTATCTTTGGGTTTGCCAGTGTCTATTATAAATGCCATACTCTCAATTACTTGTGTACAGAGTGGCAAAACATCACGAGGTCCCTGCTCCTCACAACCTCATTGTGTAAATTGCTACCATAATTGTACAGTAAATGCCTGTCAGTGCCGTTTGCTGAAGGCGAGGAAGATTCAGAAAATCAAGGTTACTGACAAACTTTCTTTTCCGGAAGCAAGGTGATTCTAAGAAAAACGCATCCTGGTCTGCCAAGAAGATCCTCTGTTTCAGTTCAACCTAGAAAGACCAATTCACCCAAAGAACTTCAGCTGTTTGACAATCTTACATGACAGGTGTTGCATGTAGACCTCCCTATTGAGACCCCCCTTCTTTACACTCAACAGGCAAAATGATTATTCCACGAAATGTAGATAAGTACAGTAATCCCTCCACCTCTGTGAATTTGCTATTCATAATTTCCAAACATTTGTGATCAGAGAAATGCTACTGGTTTTAGCGTTTGCAAGTACGTGTTTTGGTCATACTACTTTTTTGAACATGAACACATTTAATTTCCTTTATCAGCGTTAGACAGAAACTTTATTCTACAATTGGGCATATGTTGCCCGGTGGGAGAATGTAGCAACATGAAAGAACAGTTACAATTACATATACAAAAAACAATGTTACTTTTATATATAAAATGACAGTATAAAAAACATAATTTCCTTGTCACTACGTAGCACATGCAGATGGCATTTACATACATAATACTACAAATCCAAGTACATATATATTAACTTTTAGATAAGTAAACATACATACTACATTAATGTGCACACATCATACATACATGCATCATGCATGCACGCACCATGCCTACATGCACGCACCATGCCTATATGCACGCACCATGCCTACATGCACGCACCATGCCTATATGCACGCACCATGCCTATATGCATGCACCATGCCTACATGGACGCACCATGCATGCATACATGCATCATGCATATATGCACCATACATACATACATTTACATGTACAAACATGCATAGACCTACAAACTCCCTCCTGTACAGAAGCCTGCACCTTATCTCTCATAAGAATATTTTAACAAATATGGGTAAACATTTTACCTATACACAAACACAATACAATTCTTATAATAATTATTACGTTTTCAACCCGTGATACCCTCTTTGACATAAATAACTAAACATAAAACAAAGATGTTTAATATTAGCAAAACAAACAGAAAGAATTGAAATCGCATCACTTCACTACACTGCACCACATATCACTTTACTTAATTGTAACTGCTCAATACATTTTAACTGTAGGCTACCTAATAATCGCACCTTTCACTTCATTTCGCTTCACTACATGCCTCTACCCTATTGACTAATTTCCTATATTTTGTTCCTAAAACCTAGTGCTGAGCAAGGAAAAGACTCAAAAACTGCCGCAAGTAAATCGTTCCAATCTCCCATTGTTCTGTTTACAAAGAAGAATTTGCTATTTTTTGTATTTGTGTTCTAATTTTATATTTATGATCAAATCTATTTAAAGAATGTGGTTTATTTTGCCTTCCCCGAATTTTCCTCCACGCAGAGCAACCAGTGTAAGATTTATATGATGCACAGTTGTGCCCTTCAGTGTTCTAATGATTCCCAATGTGCTGGTATGTTGCTCTGAAATGTGTACTTTGCTGCTCTGTTTTGTATCTCCTCTCGTTTTAAGCTCTTTTTAAGTTCATTCTGTACGGATACCAACAACTAGCTCTGTATTCCTTTACAGTTTCCTTCTAACAAGTGCAGTATATGCGATTTCTTTTGCTTCCATATTGAATTTTTTTAAAGATTTCTCATAACAAAATGCAAAGACCTCCAAGCTGTACCTACTACATAGTTTGTTTGTTTCTCCCACACCAACTTGTGTACAGTAAGATGCCAAGGTATTCACAGTTTGAGACTTGCAGAATTACATCATTACCTAGCTGATATTGTATTGTATGAGGAGCTCTGGCCCTACAAAATGTGACCGCTTTACTTTTCTTTCCATTTATAGTCATTTTATTAGCTTGAGCCCAATCATAAATTTTATTTCAATCGTCCTGTAGTTGAATCATATCATGCTGTTCAGCAATTTCTCTGTATAACACAGTTATCAGCGAAGAGTCGAATTTTTGACTTTATGTTTCACAATAAATCATTTACAAAGATAAGAAAGAGCAGTGCGCCTATGACACTGCCCTGAGGGAACCTGGAAGTAACGTTACCCTTTTCCGATAAATGCTGTCCAATTCAGACTTTTTGATTTCTATTCCTAAGAAATTCGCTTATCCATGCTACTACCCGTCTGTCAATTTTAGCATTAATGAGCTTCAGTATCAGTGGATTGTGCGGAACTACATCAAATAATTCAGCAAAATCAATAACTATTGCGTCCACTCTTCCCCCTAAATAGATTCCTTCAGACGAGTCTCGAGTAAGGGAAAAAATCTGACTTTCATTCGAAAAGCCATTACTAAAGCCATGCTGTCCATGTAAAAAACATTTTGTCTGATTCAAATGATTTCTAATCGCATTAGATACTGATTTTTCAAACAATTTACAAACTACTGATGTTAGACTAACTAACCTGTAATTTTGTACTTCACATTTTTGTCCACTTTTGTAAATTGGCACTATTAAAGCAGATTTCCAATCATTCAGTACATTTTCATTGTTGATCAATACATTGAACATCCTCGTACATCATGGTGAAGTAATAGAAAGGAAAGTGCGTCCTAAAACAAATTCAATGTCAAAACTGTTAATGGGGTTCTTAAACTTCATTAAGCTCTGGTGGAAAGAGCATTCGAATGTGATCTGAATATGGAAATAACTTCGAAATTTAAGAGAGAAATAGATGCAGCAACTCTTCCATATTTGGATCTTAGAATGAGGAGGGTAATTAAAAAAAAAAATCAAATTCTATATCCAATCCCTTTGAAGTGTGAAATAAATTTCAAATGTTGTTTTATTTCCTCTCCTCTCTTTTGGATGTTAATTATGAATTATGTTTGTAGCAGCGTGCTGGTGTGGCTATTGCAATTGTTTATCAAATATTTTCTTGCTTTTTAAACAGTTTTGCGATATATAAGGAACCTAATCCACCTTCATTTATTAATAGGTAGCCTCAACATTCACGCATTTAACATTCGTGATGCTTTGTGTTGCATGTTAAGGGATTACTGTATCTATCATTATAAATGTTCTTTCATCGAATTTACAACTATCAAATTTTGTAAATTAATGCTATTTATTCCATACATTTCTTTTTAAAATTACATTTACATCATTTTAAAAGATTTTTTTAAAGTGCTTTCATCAGGTGATCTTTTAGCTACCTATTATGTATCCCAGATGGCCGCAAAATGTATGTTGAATAAATGTTTGTGGCAGAATTCTGTTCCAATTGGCCTTGATTTATTGTGAGGTCTGAGCAAATACTGCTTTCTCTACAGACAAGCTTTCTATCGCCAAAGTTCCAAAGTGGAACACCTGCATTGAACCAGGCCAAATATATGTCCCTTTGTTAAAGGATCTACCAGAAAAGGCAAGGAAGTACTCCCTTAGCCTTTTCAACCGAATCTGGTCTGAACATACCATTCCCAACACGGTAAGAGTCTGAACATACCATTCCAACAGTAAGAATCTTGCTTAGGGCATTTGATGCAAAGTTTCTAGAACTCCTAAACCATCATACCCTCCTGCTCATTAATCATCACTCTTCGATTATCTCTGACCCCTTCACCCAGTCATTAGAATATTAGTTCTCCAGAGTCTTTTCAAGGTTTTTTTTTTTTTCTTCCAACAATCCTGTCCAACTTGTGTTTCCACTGCCAATAAGTTGCTGCTGGCCATATTTTCTGCACAGATGCCAGTGTGCATCCTGCAAAGTGGCCATTCTATCATGGCGTTTGTTGTAGTCTGATTGTGCCATCTTGATGCTGGTGCTGACTAGGTGATTGACTGCCTTATCCTGTTTCAAGTGTCTGCACTTGCAGTTTTTGGCAATCTTGTCTATTTTGGCGTGAGTAACCTTGGTCCCAAGAGCCTGTTCTTGGGCTGTTAATGCCAGACCTTCTGTCTCTTAAGGGAGATACCCATAGACATCCCTTAGCAAATGTATTGTCGACCCTTACCTCTCAATTTCTCGGGAATACCCTCTAAGGAGCAGCATGCCATGCTCAATATTTCAGCATTAGATTCTTTTTTCTAATTATGAATGAGTTTTTGCTTAACCTGTTCTTGGACTTCCTTTGCTGATAGTCTGAATTACGTTAGCTATATTTAGCATAGTCCTGAGAAATTAATTGGTTTGTTTTCTGAAAGTGGATTGATCTTATTAATTCCAACTATCAATTACCTGCTGAAGACTGAAATATTGACTAAACTATTTGTAGGCCAATATTCATAGATGCCTCTCATTTCAATCTTGTCTGAGACTTCAATATTCGTGCTGGTGATTAAACCTCAGTCTCTCTCACTGTCTGTCTGTCTGTCTCTCTCACTGTCTGTCTGTCTCTCTCACTGTCTGTCTGTCTCTCTCACTCTCTGTCTGTCTGTCTCTCTCACTCTCTGTCTGTCTGTCTCTCTCA